ATGTGTATAATAGTCAAGTTACATGGTTTCCCATGCCACAGTCTGAGGGATGGCTGTGCCGGCAATGGGCCAACTGTCCCCTAGTAAATCTATTAGAAATTATTTCTGTGGAGAGTTCTGTAAATCACCAATGACAACAACAGGCACAAGAAAGATGTGGAACTTCAGGAACAGGTCCAGAGGAGGGCCACTAAGATGATCAGAGGCTGCAGCACCTCTCCTATGAGGAAAGGTTGATGGAACTGGGCTTGTTTAGCTTGGAGAAGAGAAGGCTCTGGGGAGACCTCATTGTGGCCTTCCAGTACTTTAGGAGGGGGAATGGCTGTTTATGAGGGTGGATAGTGATAGGACAAGGAGGAATAGTTTTAAACTAAGACAGGGGAGATTCAGGTTAGATATTAGGAGGAAGTTTTTCACACAGAGGTGGTGACGCACTGGAACAGGTTGCCCCAGGAGGCTGTGGATGCCCCATCCATGGAGGCATTCAAGGCCAGGCTGGATGTGGCTCTGGGCAGCCTGGTCTGCTGGTTGTTGACCCTGCACATAGCAGGGGGATTGAAACTAGATGGTCATTGTGGTCATTTTCAACCCAGGCCATTCTATGAATCTATGGTTTCCAAGGCATTACATTTCAGATTTGCAGACGGAAAAGATTTATTGCAGCATCTGGACAGCTTCCCAGCCCAAGAAAACTTGCTTCAGTTGTTACTTTACTAATGTTTCTGAGTGCAGCTTCCTTATCCTTTTTTTTTTCAGGGACTCTATGATTTAAGGTTTGCATTTCCTTTTTCTATTAACAAAACAGTGACTTAATACCATACATTCAGGCAGAAACCTATAGAAGTAATCCAAAAGGCTTATGATAACCTTGGAAACAACACTGCTTTCTTTCTACAGAGCATTATTACAGGTGGCATCACATCAGAATTTTCTACAGCTACTTCCAAAGAGGTAACAGCTCTGGTATCCCCTAATATCCCTCAGTCTTAAGCAGTAACTCTCCTTTTACACAGAAAGCAATGCAAAGCAGAATCTGAAGTGTGACTGTGGGGAAGTTGCAGCAAGAAGGAGGTGGGAGAAGGTGATGGTCTAGACTGTGGAGTTTAAAATCTATTTCTAGATGTGAGGTGGTGTCAGACACTGGGCAGACCACTGGACCTACTGCATAACATAAGGAGTTTTCAACATTTCCTGCTGTTCAAGAATGTGAATGAACTTAATCAAAGTACTTTGAGAACATAAAGAGAAAGGCACTAGGAAAAAATGCCGTTAACAGTAGGAAATTTTGACAAAGGAACTCCAGCCTTCCCAATATTACTCAGAAGGAAGGTAATAATGTTGAGATACAAAGTAGACAAGGAACGTGCCCTTGTGAAGCACAGCTCTCAACAGCTTCATCTTTCCCCACACTGCCAAGGCTTCTGTAACCTCATTTCAGAATCATAACAAGGCACCCTAAATCCTCACACCTTTACGAAAACTGACAGCACAGAAAGCTTATAAGAGAAAATGTCACACTGCAAAGATGGCATAGAAAAGTAATCATCAATTGAGTTCAAATTACAGCTCCAGCAGCATCCCCTGACTCATCCAAGCTGCTCTGCTTTATTGGGACTGCCAGCAGCACTCTGAGACAATGTATAATGAAATATGAAAAATGTGTGACCCCACTGATGCGATGAGTTGATATGAAAAACACTTTCTTCTTACTGTGAACTGCTATGACATGGCTTCATTAGCTTGGAATCAGACAGTGCACTGCTGCTGCTGCTGCTTCAGCCCTACTTGTGTACAGAGAACTTCAGGGTTCACAGGATACACATTCGGACTCCTTCCCCAGAACAAAATGGAAAGCTTCACTTCCAGCTATAGTCCTGTGTTGCATGGGATGAAATTATTCTCGTGCACCATAATGACCAAGTGCTGTGAATAACACCTTTACCTGCCCCTTCTGCCTTCAGAGAGGGGCAAAAAAACCAAAGGTTGTCCATGAGTTACACCTTTGCAGATGGAATAACATCAAATTATTATTTACCAAAAAATAAATAAAGCTTTTATTTTCTTTCCCCTATTTTTGTGTAGAGCTTAAATGCTAAAACAACCTCCGTCAAGATGGTTATTGTTATTCATTTGAATAACACTGCTGGAACTGTGATGGTAGTTCCAAGCACTGCAGTATTCCTGCATTTCATGGCTATAGCATGGCAATGAATGAGAATACTGCAGCACTTCTCATAATGGCTCCAAAGCACTCACAGTGCCTGCAGTGCTAGGTAATGCTGCATACAGTATCTGCAGCAGAAGAGAAATACAGAATAACTCCAGTTGGAAGGGTCATCTCTCTTAAGGTTTCTAGCCCAAACTGTGCTGAAAGAAGAGCTAACTTCTAAAGTTGGGCCAGGGAGGGGCGATATAAACAATAATCACTTTTATCTGCCATCAGCAGGCAAGACAGAAAACAAACACTTCTATGCGGATTAAATGAAGCATTTCTAAGGATGAAGAGGGAATAAAATCACCAGCCAATATACATTTCATAGCAAGGAACTAATATCAAAAGCCCTAGCACCTCATATTTGCGACTTCATTGATATTTTCTGCTTTTTCAAAAATTGAATGTGAAGGCAGGCAGCTGACTTGTTTAAACTCATATTAATGGGGAGATCATTTCAGAGAGACAGATTTTTAAACACCTTTGAATTATGCACCCAAAGTCACACATCTGCTGACCAGTCTGTAGCTCTTCTCAAGTCTGTTCCAAACTACTAGCCACTGCTCAGTGCCTTCAACTGCTCAGTTTGACTCACTGGTAAGAATGGAAAAAGGCGTGGTGGTTAGCATGCTAGTGAGTCAATGGAAACACAACCAAAATTGCATCTCTCAGCACTGCCAACATTGGTGGAATTATGTGGATTGGAGCAATAGTGTGAAAAGTTAACGAAACAAGCCCTGTATAGTTTCAGCTTTGCTGCATGAACCAAGCAGCTTTCTATTTAATGAATGCTACTCAGAATGAAACTTTGTGTATGTACATGACTCTTTTTTTATGACCCTTAACAGGGGTTTTCAAATCACAATTCCTCCCACTTCCAAATACCCCCCTTTTATAAGGCAACTAAAACCTATTACATGCCTCCTGTATGAAATTCTGCTCTCTTGTTTCTATTCAGTATCAAAATGAAGCTTCACATTATTCAAAGTTTCCAGAAAACACTGGAGCCAAAAAACACAGAACTGTTGGCACTGGTTCATATGGGGACTTCAACCATCCTGGATACACAACATGGTCAGGCATACGTGGTCCTGGTGATTCCTGTAATGCACTGAAGATAACTTTCTGATGCAGGTGGTGGAGGAACTGACGAGGGGAGGGGTGTGCTACTTGACCCGGTTCTTACTATAACAGGGAAGGGCTGGTTGGGGATGTGAAGGTTGGGAGCAGCTCAGGATGCAGGAATCATGAGATGGTGGAGTTCAAGATCTTGTGTGGAAGAAGCAAAGCAATAAGTAGGATTGCAAGTCTGGACTTCATGAGAATCAACTGTGACCTCTTCAAAGAGCTACTTGGAGGTATCCTATGGGCTAGAGCATTAGAAGGTACGGGGGCTCCACTTCTTCCGAGCTCAAAATCTGCATATCTAAGCATAAGAAATTGGAGAAAGGAGCCAGGAGGCCTGTGTGGAAATCATGGATAAACTAAAAGGAAAGAAGGTCTATGAAATGTGGAAAAAGGGCCTGTCTACCTGGGAAGAATATAGGAATTTTTTCAGGTCCTGCAGGGGTGCAATGAAGAAGGTTAAGGCCCACTTGGAATTAAATCTTGCAAAGGAGGTAAAGGATAAGAACAAATGTTTTTTCCAGTTTGTTAACAGTAAAAGGAAGACTAGGGAAAATAAGTTGCCCCTACTAAATGAGGTGGGTGCATGGTGATAGGGGATGCTGAGAAGGCTGAAATTCTGAATACCTTCTTTTCTTCAGTCTTTAATGATAAGACTAGCCCTCAGGAATCCCAGACCCTGGAAGTAAGAGAAAGAGTCTGGAGAAAGGAAGATTTCCCGCTGGTCAAAGAGGATCTGGTCAAAGAGTATCTAGCAAAAATCAATGCACACAGATCCATGGGCCCCAATGGGATGCACATGTGTGTTGAGAGAATTGGCAGAGGTGACTGCTGAACAGCTCTCTATCATCTTTGAAAGGTCTTGGTGAATGGGAGAGGATAACCAATGTCACTCTGGTATTCAAGAAGGGCAAGAAGGAGGATCCAGACAACTACAGGCCAGTCAGCTTCATCTCTGTCCCTGTAAAGGTGATGGAACAACTTGTTCTGGATACTCTCTCCAAGCAATTAGAAGAGAAGGTTATCAGGAGCAGTCGCATGGATTCACCAAGAGGAAATCACAGAATCATGGAATTGTAGGGGCTGGAAGGAACCTCTAGAGATCATCAAGTCCAACCCCCCTGCAAAGCAGTCACCCTACAGCAGGCTGCACAGATAGGCATACAGGTGGGTCTTGAATATCTCCAGAGAAGGAAAATCCATAACCTCCCTCCCTGGGCAGCCTGTTCCAGTGCTCCATCACCCTTACTGTGAAGAAGTTCCTTTGCATATTGGTGCAGAGCTTCCTATGCTCAAGTTTATGGCTGTTTCCCCTTGTCCTGTCCCAGCAGATGGTTGAAAAGAGGCTGGTCATGTCTCTTTGATTCCCACACTTAAGATATTTACAGAAAGTAAATTTACAGACATCAGTTTGCTCAGCCCTTCCTCATAGGGGAGATGCTCCAGGACCTTTATCACCTTTATGGCCTTCTGCTGGTCTCTCTCCAGGAGATCTCTGTCATTTGTACCGAGGAACCCAGAACTAGACGCAATACTCCACGTGAGGACTGACCATGGCAGAACAGAGTGGGAGGATCACCTCCCTTGGCCTGCTGGCCATGCTCCTTTTAATGCACCCCAGGATCCCATTGGCTTTTTTGGCCACTGCTGGCTCACTGCCAACCTGTTATCCATCTGGACAGCCAGGTCCTTCTCTTCAGAGCTCCCCTCCTGCAGGTCATGTCCTAACCTGTACCAATACTCGCGGTTATCCTGAAGTCCAAATCATTGTTGACCAGCCTAGTAACCTTCTATGATGTCATCAAGGAAAGGTTGAGTAACCTGGGTCCTGTTCAGCCTGGGGAAAAGACTTCAGAGGGAATCTGATTAATGTTTATAAATATCTTAAGGGAGATGGGATGCAAACGTATGAGGCCAGGCTCTTTGTGGTGGTGTGAAGTAATAGGACAAGGAGTAATGGCCTAAAACTTGAACATAGGAAGTTCCGTACTAACATGCAGAAGAACTTCTTTATGGTAAGGGTGGCAGAGTACTGTAACAGATTGTCCAGTGAGGCTGTGGAGTCTCCTTCTCTGGAGATATTCAAGGCCCATCTGGATGCCTACCTGTGTGACCTATTGTAAAGTGCCTGCTTTAGCAGGGAGGTTGGACTTGATGATCTCTTGAGGTCCCTTCTAACCCCTGCAATTCAGTGGTTCTGTGATTTTCAGGTTGTCTCTGATCAGGACACGTCTGCATTGCCACAACTGATATGGGGGAGTTGTATTTCCACATCTCTCATGCACGTTGTCTATCCTGTGCAGCACTTATTTTCTAGCTTCTTAATCTTGGTGCAGGATTCAGGTCCCATCCTATTCAGCAAGAAGGGTTGGGAAGGGTAGACCTTATGTATGAAGTGTCAACAGACAGACTGACACTTCACATGCATGAAAACCGTGGGCAAAGAAAGACTGCTTCCTACTCTCCATAGTGTCTTCCCTACACTTCTTCTTGTGCTCCTGATTTTTGTGAGTTATATGAAGACACCTTTCCAAGAAACAGTGTTTATAAAGGGTTATGTGAGGTGACGATCATATATATGATAATGTGGCAATTCCTGCTGAAATGACTTCCAGAACGCCTCCTGGGCACACAGAGACAGCAGTGTGCAGCATTCCCAGATGTTGACTACATGTCTAAAGATATAAGAGGAGAAAAATGTAAACAACTGGGTTAGCTGAAAAACTCATGTGCGCCTGTGCAGTTCAAGCCTACAATCTGATGCCCATGGGAACAGTATGTTCTTTCAGCCTTCAATTTCCTCTTTCTTTAGACTCTGGCAACTTATGTCCTCCCTTATTATTAACTAAGATCTTGAGCAAGGTAGCTTCAGGGAAAGGGCTGTTCTATGCTGTTGTATTTCCCCCTTCTCCAAGCATCTGCTTCAGCTGGAGATGAAGTCCTGAGCAAGATAAGCAGCTCTTAGCTGCACACTTCATATGGATCTGCAATGGCTGTGAGCATGGGCAACTCAGCTACTGCTGCACTGTGATCCCTGCAAAGAGCTTAATCCTGTACTCACAGTTTTGTTGAACAAGGCTCTGCCACCAAAAAAAAGTCATTACATATAGGCATGTAAGCACCTGTTTTAAGAGGCTGAAGGCAGCTCCTGGGATCTGGGCTGATCAGTAAGGGTGCCCACAAAGCAATGATGAGGCATTATGAATCTGAAGGTGACAAGAGAAGGGCTGCTATTTGTAGCAAATTCACTCATTTATCCATCACTGATCTTCTTTCAGAGAGCATTACTAAAAGAATAAAAGTTCCCATGAAATTGTTTGTGCACGGCCAAAATGAGGAAGAAGAGTAGTGAAAGAGTTGAAAAGAGAAGTCTGCAGCAAGAAACAAGCTCTGAATCTTTTGTGATAATTTCACTGGAAGAGACAGGGTCTGAACATTCTCCTGGAGAAGCTGGCAGCCTATGGCTTGGACAGTTGTACTCTCTGCTGGGTAAAAAACTGGCTGGAAGGCCAGGCCCAGAAAGTGGTGGTGAATGGAGTTAAATCCAGATGGTGACTGGTCACGAGTGGTGCTTCTTAGGGCTCAGTACTGGGGCTGGCCCTATTTGATATCTTTACTGATAATCTGGATGAGGGCATTGAGTGCACTCAGTAAGGTTGCAGACGACCCCAAACTGGGAGGAAGCAGCAATCTGCCTGAGGGTAGGAAGGCCCTACAGAGGGATCTGGATCAATAGACTGAGGCTAATTCTATGACCAAGTGCCAAGTCATTACTAAAACCCCATGCACAGCTACAGGCTTGGGGCAGAGTTGCTGGCAAGCTGCATGGAGGAAAAGGATCTGCGGGTGTTAGTTGACAGCTGGCTGAACATGAGCCAGTAGTGGGCCCATGTGGCCAAGAAGGCCAATGTAATCCTAACCTGTATGAGATAAAGTGCAGACAGCAGGACTAGGGAGGAGATTATTTACTCAACACTGGTGAGGTCACACTTTGATTACTCTGTTGAGTTTTGTGTCCCTTACTACAAGAAAGATACTGAGGCCCTGGAGCGTGTCCAGAGAAGGACAGCAAAGCTGGTGGAAAGGACTGAAGCACAAGTCTTATGAGGAGCAGCTGAAGGAGCTGGGATTGTTCTGTCTGGAAAAGATGCTCAGGGCAGACCTTATCACTCTCTACAAGTACCTGAAAGGAGGCTGTAGTGAGGTGGAGATTAGTCTCTTTTCCTAGCTAACTAGCAATAGGACAAAAGGTAATGAACTTAAATTGCACCAGGGGAGCTCCAGCTTCGATATTATGAAAAACATCCTCTCAGAAAGAATGGGGTACTGGATCAGGCAGCCCCGGAAGGTAGTGGAGTCACCATCTCTGGAAGTTTTCAAGAAAATGGTAGTCTCATTGAGTGATGTGGTCTAGAGTGGTCAGAATCATGAGCTGATTGGTTGAACTACATAATCTTAGTGGTCTTTGCAGCCTTAATGATTCTATGATTTTGTGAATCTGGAGCCAATACAAGGGTCATACTTTTCAATTGTAACACAGTAGAGCATATGCAGAGTATGTTAGTTTGACTTTGAACTTTCTTACTTATTAAAACATCCTCAAGTCACTTCGTTTTCGATGAGTCTAGTACAGAATTAAATAAAGTATACCATTCCATGCTCTCTAGAATAGAGTGGTTTTCTGACAAACAGTTGAAGGACATGGCATATAAATCACTTCCCAGTAGTAAGCCAGCGAATTTGCAGCACAGAAGTTTCCCAGGTGTAACTTCTTGTTTCTAGCACATGATAAAGGTGAGGTAGCATAAAAGGTCTTGCTCAAAGACTCCAACAGACTATAGTGTCACATGAAATTTATCATAATTTGTTTACATGCTTTATCCTCACATTAAAATACCCACTGAGTCCACCGCTTTATGGTGCTCACTCACAGTCATAGTAAAATCAGCATGGAAGCTTATACCCTGCTTCATCGTGTGGCTGTTTCCAGGTCAAGCCAAATTCTCAGTCATTTGGGCTCCACTTCTCCTCCAACCAAACCACACTAAAATGTCTAAAGGATTTTTCACAACAGGAGCAGTGAGTATTCCCTTCTTTCTAGGAACTGGCAGAATCCCTTCAAACATAGTTAAGGAAAAGAAAGTGGGGGGTGTGCAACAAAATGACCACATTTTATTGGATGTTACTCGTGATGGAAAACAGCGACTTCAAATAGAGCTTTAATTTCAAATAAAGTCATTTTCAAACTCAACTGCTGTCTTGTGGATGAAAGAGGGGTGTCTGTGACAGTTGTATTACAGCCTATATGTAGCTCTAAAGTGTAGCTCTGTGCTGAGTGCATGGATGATTTGTGGTGGTGAGACCCCTCTACTCCAAGGGCCTGCAGAGTTACTGTACTTGCAGAATTCCACCTTAAAAGCAATTGGACGTGTCTGTAACTCAGGGAAGGTTTGCTAAGCAATGACACATTGCATTTGGATCTGGAAACATAACATCTGGAAGCCAAATGTTAGAAACGATATAAAAGGGCCAGCCCAACAAGCCAGTGGGGCATTTCTAAGCCAGAAAAATCCTCAGGATGGACCTTGTCCTTCTCTGGGTATTCCTGCCTTTGGTGTCAGTGGCATGGGGCCAGTATGGTGACTATTACTACGGCCCCTATAACTACGGAGATAACGATGAATGGGTCAATGTATACCGGCAGGGTTTCAACTTCCAGTGCCCGCATGGGCAGGTGGTCGTGGCCATCAGGAGTGTCTTCAGCAAGAAGGAAGGCTCCGACAGACTGTGGAACTATGCCTGCATGCCAGCAGCCCAGAGCCTCGGTGAGCCGACAGAGTGCTGGTGGGAAGAGATCAACAGGGCGGGAACTGAATGGTAGGACACTCTGACCCACCCTGGGAGGGCACAGCTCTGATACCCCATTTGGAATGCGGGTGCTCGTACATAGCAATGCCAGTGCATAGCAATGTGATCCTAGCCAGCAGCTTTGCTTCCTGAACGCATTCCTCATGATGCATGCGTGAGGGGTGAGCAGCATCTCCTCTGCCTTCTCTGTAGCATTTTCCTGCTGGAGGGTCTTTGTGCTTTACTATTGCTGTGCCATTTGGTCACTCACCTCAGCTGCCTGGTGGCTTGGTCTTGCAGCTGTCATTTCAGTGCTGAGAAAACCTTCAGGGAGTGCAGGACAAAGTCACTCTCAAAAGGCCACACAACGAATCAGTGACTAAACTGGGGAACAAATTGTTTAGCTCCTGACTCCGACCTCCTGTTCTTATCACTAGACAAAAATTTCTCTTTATCGCGCTGGCTTTTCTCTTTGTGTTTTTGTTGCTAAGCTTTTTGGCTTAAACCCAGTGAGAGGCAGTTTTCAAGTCATGCTGGTACTACAGGAGCCAAAAATCCACGCTAATGAGTGGTGATGGCATATACATATACGATAATGATCACGGAAGATGATGTTAATTCCTTGGTGCAGTCAGTTTTGGTGCACTAGATGTTAAATTTCCTATTCAGCTTTGAGGCAAAAGTGATCACATTTTGTGGCCGCAATAATTTATGGAAATATGTATGGCATTTCATGTTTAGGCAGCATATACCCAATATTTAATTTTCTGCTGATTTTTTCATAAAATGTGAAATATACTTCTAGAACATTCCAAATATGGCATCCTTTGAACAAAATGAAATGAATGCAAGGACATTTTCAAATATTTTAAACGGTTTTGCTCCAGAAATTGCAATATAATTTTTCTAGATTTCACATCATATGGGAACAGGTCAACAATAAATGCAAAGCTTCTGCTTTTTAAGTGAGTTAAAATTTTGTCCTTAATTATTCATAGTGTTTCATTCACCACGTGATACATTCCTATGGCTGATGCAACTGCTGAGGACTGACCCCATACTTCACTATGGAATAAGAAAATAAAGGGTGAGGGCTGCAAAACAGGCAGAAAAAAGACCCTGTGATAATACTAGGTGACTTCTTCATTGTTCTTACATTTATGCAATTTCTACTTATTGCACAGTAAATTTGCTTTAGACATTTCTGTTGTTCAAAATAAAATTGTTTTCTTTCCAAAAATCCCTGGCAGCAATTGCTTGAGTTTGCTTCTTACAAACAGGACACTATGTAAGTCTATACAGAACATTTTCTTCTACTGTCTGGGGCCACATTCGTCATCGTGCTCCGTATGCTTAGTGTGCCTAAATCCACAGCATATTATTTACATCTTATTTCTTCTACCTCTTAATAATCTTTTCACTTTGTACTTACATGTTTTCCTCTTGCCTTTCACCCAATCCTATCTTTCTTCCAAATATGTGTCCTGTCCGCCCTCTTTAATATTTTTAACTCTGTTTAACTCTCTCTCCTAGCTTCTGGAACTTCATAGGCACTTCTTCCCTAGCTGGCCTTTCCAGTCAATCATCCTTACATCTACTTTTCCGCTCTGTAAAGATTTCTTTCTTCTACCTGTCTAGGAGGTGAAGTGTTTTGGGAACACCTCTTTGCAAAGGTGAACTTGAGATCCTAATTATTTTGGCTATTTCTGTTCATCCTAGCTAGCTGTGTCTGGTTGTACTCCACAGTTTTCTATACTACAGGGCTGAGTTGGTTGTATATTCAGCATTTCATGGAAGGGATTTACTGCATGCAAGAGCATACCTTGCTGTGCCCAGGCACTGCTGCCCAAGAATCCAGTAGGCTTATCCTGGAAGGGGGTCACAGCTGGGCCAGCAGAGAGCCAGCCTGGAGTGTCCAAGGGCAAACTTTAAACTTCAAGTTAATGTGACAACATGGATGTATCTTACAGAGCCTTTGATAATCCTACACCTATTATCTTCATAGTCTTTACATTATTTCTCATAACAGCCTCTTTTTTCTCTCTTCCATAGTCTTCTCAGTGCTCTTTGGAGCTGCTTCAAGCTCTAAAAAGATTCACTCAGTAATCAATTGGGTCTATGAATATGAATCATAATTTCTATCAGTTCCTGTTTGACCACCTCTGTTTCTGTGCTGATCTTCTGATTAACTGATGTGTTGGTGAGCCATACATCATCCTCATGTCAGCTGAGGCAGCATTCTGCTGAACTAGCTTGTCCATTCCAATCCTGGGAATAAGGACTGTAATATTTCTTCTTCAGCTCTAGTCACAGGGTAGTTCATCTAACTATGCAGATCACAGCCAGGGATATTCAATTATTTCTTCCACCAAAAACCTCAAAGCTGATAAGCTTTTCCCAAAGTTTAAGCTGCATTTCCTCTGCTGTAATTGAGGTTTGTTTTTTTTATTCCTTGCTCTGCCTTCATGCAAAAACACACACAAAAAACCATGACCTGTGATAAATTATGTTTGTGGCATTTCACAGATCAGCATTTCTGACTGCTATGCTATGCACAATAGGGACAAACCCCAGAGAGGTTTCTTTAGAAAAGCCATCAAACCAAGGAAAGCTGTAGAGAGAAAACAGACTGGGAATACAAAGCAGAAAGAGGAAAATAATCTCCAACATGCTGTTTTCTTTGGCCATTAGCGTTATGGGGAAAAATGGCAGAAAGGATGTAGAGGGTGTTGGACTGGGAGATCTGGGTATATAGGAGGGCAGGAAAGGATGACTGGCAGAGATGGTTTAGGTAAGTTTGCTTCCTAAACTACTATTAGGTATTACATAAACTTCTAGGACTAAATCCATACCATTTTTCATCCCACAGATATGAAAAAAGGATTCAACAAAGAGAGGGTGATTATGGGGATCCATATTAGGCATCTATCCAATCATCTATGGGTACTTGCACTTCTGAAGAGAGCACGTTCTTTTTTGTTTTGCTGAATAGACACAAGAAACCTGTGAATGTCTTATAAGACTCTCAGGAATATCTGGGAAAGGGATTGGATAAGATAACCAACTTCTTTTCAGCCTTCTCAGCTCCATAAATCTGTGAATGCGTTCTAGTTCAAAGTTCAGTATGCGGACAAAGGCTTTGCTGAATCTGTCCCAACAACTTAGTACTGGCTCTACTGCCTCTACAGGGTAGCTATCTGCAAACCAAGATGCTATTCAGCTGGGAGCAAACCTATTCCTGAATAATTTGGAAATAATCATGTCTTGAGTATGCAAAAGTCCTCAGGACACCCTCTTGTTCTACATAGTCCTTCTAGTTATTTATTTGCTGTGACCTCACAAGGAACTGTGCCTCTTCAAACTAAATAAAGTGGATGTTTACATTTCAATTTGTACTGGAGGAGATTTGACCTTGGGTAAATATTTCACCAACTAAGAAAATGTAAGGTCTAAGCTGGAGAGGCTGCTTCGTTGCTTCCCTGGATACTACAGAGTTGTCTTGGCAGACCAGACTTCGAATGAAGTATTTAAGAAAAATGATTCTTCTTGGCTAACAGTGAATGTATAAAAGGACAAGGTTGAAACAAACAAATAAACTAAAACTTGCAAGTCAAAGGCAACGTTTCCTTCCAGGAGAAAATGTTTGATTTACACCACATTAGAGAGATGGAACAGTGCTATATCCCCAGCATACTCCCAGTTATCCATAAGGCACAAAACAGAAAAGTTTCCAGCAAAGTGCTATTTAGTGCATGTTTATTGCCTTTTTTCCTTGTTTAGACTTACGAGAAAGTGTTTGGAAGAGACTCTGAAAAAACAGATGTCTAGATTCACCCACCTCATTCCCATTCTTGCTTTTCTTTGCTTTCTCATTCCGTGCACAAACACACAAAGGCAAACACGCAGACCCTTCAAGCAGGCATACAACCCAATTTCCTATAAACCAGGTGCAAAGATAGGCTCATAAGCAAAGGAAGGAAATGTCTGTAGGAGCCTCCTATTCAGACAGGAGGCAGCTCACCCCTTTGTTCTCTATCTCTGACAATCAAGCTGCCTTTTAAAATATTCGCATTTGCGCTATCTATGCAAACATTAATTTCCCTTTAACACTTTATGTTAAAGGGACAATGCTAGAGGCTTTTAGCACATCTGCAGTGGACTGAGTCCAGTGGGATCACTTGCAAAGAAGAGAGGTCTTCAGGTGGACAGGGAGGTCTCACCAATGGCTGTGAGAAAAAGATGAAGAGGGGAGTTATGAACTTGCCTTCCCTCTGTGCAGTGAGGAGAAAGGAAAGCCAGCACCTACCCCTGACTGATTATCTGTCTCTTGTGAGGGAAATAAAAACATAGCAGAAGTTCAGAATGAGGGTTCTTTTGGTACATGGAAGCGAGTGACAGCATGTCTGCCCACCCCACAACAGATAGTAAAGACTACTTTGTAGAAGTGGCTACCGGAGACTGGCACAGGCTAATCAAATCAAGAGAAGTAGTTCCCATAGTCTGATTGTCAGTGTTTCAAGTGTCCTGAGCATATCCTCAGCCATTTATCTCTCCCCACTCATCTGTAATAGAAGGATCATTAAATTAGCTTTCATCATGCAACTAACCAAATTATACAGGGAAAGGACAGTCCACAAAAACAACTCAGGACAGCAGGACAGGGCCTCCCCTCCAAACTGTGCCAAAAGTTTTGGAAACTGAAAGTAACAGGTTTCGGTGAAACAACACCAGAGGAAAACAGCGTGCCTAGTATCTTGTTAACAAATGCCTCCCACACTCTAGTCTCAGTCTTAGAAGCTGTATGAGGTTAGGCCAACTCTCCATGTGTGCTCCAGGTGGGATTGCAGAAGAAAGCATGTATTTTTATTGCCATTGCATCAGTATGTCATATCTGACATAATATACAGATCCATTCCTCTCTGATAGGCTCCAGAGAAAGAAATCAATAATAAAAACTTTACAGAAGCCATCTGCTCTACAGCAAAAACAAACAAACAAATAAACAAACAAACAAAGGATTTTTAGAAGTATGCAGAATGACATTCTTAGGTTACCCTATTATAAGGAACAAACTGCCCTTTATGCAACACGACCAGGTGTCTACTGTGCTGTGTGTCAGACTGCATTTTTCCAGAGAGAGACTCAACATGGATGGGCTCAGAAGTATTGCTGCAGCTCGACAGATTTGCTCCTCTACGTGTCCCCATCCTCAGGGATAGTACATTACTTGGGCTAATTTCTAATGTATCTGAAGGACAGAGGATCTCAGGTAAAGGTTTACAGCACAGCACTAGATGAGGTATAACACACTGGGACACAGTTTAGCAAAGAACAAAAACAAGATGCAGATATAATCAGGAAGTGTTACCACAATTGGCACTTCAGTTTAACACAACACTGCTGCAAGCAAGATTTGTCTCCAGGTTATTGAGTTGAGTCAAGGATCCACACACTGGCTATCAACACGTGCAAATCCTGTGGGATGGTTTAAGCAGATCTGTAGGGTGAAACAGTTTGTGCACAGGACCCAAAATTCATACGTGCATTTTTAGTAGGTTTGCTTCAGAACAGATCTAGTCTGGCCCCATGTACATATGCAACCATGAAAGCTTTTGAATAAATCTGCTGGTTAAATTTCATCTGCAGCAAATTCAATTTAAATGCTCCAAGATCTTTATACAATGGCAACCAAACAATGGTAAGCAGGGATGACTGGGAGACTTATTTTGGAAGTGCAGTCCCAATGTGAACTAAACTGCTAACAGACACATTCTTTGGTTGCTTGCCATGACAAAACCATACAACATTAATTATTGGCCACTTCAGAAAAAGATGTGGTGTGTGAGAGGCTTTTCACAGCAGTTGCAGCAGGCAGTGAGTGGGAAGTCTCAGCTACCACATCCATACCTGTTACTACACAGAATGCCCTCCAAAAATAAGGCTTTATAGTTTATTTACTCTCCACAGAAAACCCTGCAGCCACTTCCAGTGAATGGGGGAAGGGAAGGGCAACATCCCATTCAACAGCACCTGACATCTCCCCACCAATCTGCCCACTCCTTCATCTACCAGCCAGCTCACCTCCTCTTCCACCACTACCAGATCCAAAAGGCAACTCTTCATGCAATCCAATTTGAGCCAACTAGAAAAATAAACCCATTCATTGCCAAGTTTCATCCCACACAGTTCCAGTTGGTTTCTCATGCTTCTCTGCATTCAGTTTCCAAAAGGTATCTTCCTCTCTTCTTAGCAGTGTCAGGACTTTGAGAGTACAAAGAACCCAGCAACATTTCCAAATTATCCTGTATAACAAGAAGTGCCAAATAGTGGGTCTGGTGAAAAAGGCCATTTTTTGACTTGGTCATAAATCAAAGGATCTGAATCACTGTTTCTGATTCACTTTAGGAGTTTGAGGATTTATTGTGACACAAGTAGTGAGGTTGATACAGAAGAAAGAAATCTTCACAGATTAAGACTTGTTTTCAGATTAGTATGTAGAGTATCTGACTAACGAGGTATGTGAGGAGAAGGTTGATTGGTTGTTTCACTTGAAGCATTACTTTTGGATTGTAGGAAAGAGGCCAAATGGGGAAAGGAAGGAAGGAGAAGAAGAGATGTTACACAAACTCACAAATAAGCATTCCATTTTCTGAGAGCATTTCTTAATTTTTGGATGATTTTGACTTGAAAATTAGGAAGATGAAAGAAAAATCATCTTGCATTGTCTCAAAGCCAAAGAAAAGTACTTCAATTTCACCATTATCTTTATCTCTCTGAACCAAATATTGAGCTTGAAAAAAAGATTGCAGGATTTTATGTATACGCGACAGAAGTAGAGAGGGAGAAATGAACTTGAGCTTAAAAGATCACTTCAAATGTTCCTTTGAATGTTTTTAAAATACAATAGCAATGTAATTACAAGGAATGAATTATTCCCAAATACACTCTGCATCAAAGAAACCAATTTTTAAGAAGGCTACAAATGTATGTATATATATTCTTAACAAAAAGCTGTTCATTAGAAGACAGATTCATGATCAAAAACAAACCAATCTTCCTGGTGCTGGGTGTCCAAATGTGTATGTATGTAAATCAGGTAGTGTTATATTAGCTAGATTTTTAAAATTCTCCTACAGAAAGAAGAGTTTATCTGTGATATCTTTCTGGAAAAAAAAAAAAAAAAGTATTTCTGTAAAAGTTGGAGTATATTACTAGAGGTGTCAAAAAACAAAAAAAAAAACCAACACAAACAAAGCAGCTGTAGGGAGAGACCAAGAAAGAGAATACGACTTTCCAGATTGAATGCAAGCAGGTGGGGAGATATAGAAGGAAAAAGAAGAATATACTACGAAGACAAGCGTGAGCAAGAATAATGGATTTTGATCACTGAAAATGGGAAATTGCAGAGCAATGCCAAGCCTTATAGAAGAAATGCCAAAAGAAATGGGGAAAAAAATACTCCCACTATTGCACCTCTGAACAAGAGCTGGAAAATCTCCGAGGGACACAAGGAATTGAACAGGGGAAATGCCTGTAAATGGGAAGGGGAGAAGCAGAAGAAAATGAAGGGATGTAAGTTTGGTCCTACTTCACAGATTAATGCAGAAAACTGCTCATTTTGCAACAGATACAACCATTTCCCTATATTTCTGTGCATCAACTTTCCTTCTATCACAATAACACCAATCATCTGAAACTATCCAGTATGTTTACACAGAACCTTAGCCATATGTTCCCATGGCCTAGGTGCCAAAAAAACAGAACAACTTCCTACCAAAGTCCTGATGAAATCCTCTGAGAGCGAGCCAAACTGCTTTACTTGGTGTGATACCATAGCAACTCAGAGTCCCCATCACTACTTCACTGCTGAGGTCTTCAGAAGAGCCTCAGAAAGCACAGCACATATGTGTGGTCCCAGCAATTTGTGAGATGTGGGGAAACAAACAAATGTAAATAATATTGCCAGAACAATGCAACAGCATGGAAGGACATACTGAAAAGACCCGTGGTTCAAAGGTGGGAGCTAAAAGAGAGGAACTGGACTGGATGACCTTAGAGATCCTATCCAACCTTGGGGATTCTATGATCGTACAAATTCATCTATGTGCTGTCTAAGCTTATCCGTTTTTCAGCTTTTGCATTCAAGACCTTGAGACTCGAGTTTTGCAAACATTACCACCTGTGAGAAAGGAAATGGAACAAACTGAATTCAAATAATTTTCTCCAACAGGGAAGCAATGAGGATAAGAGCGTCCTTGAGAAAATGAATGCTCAACATCTGAGCTAATAAGCTGTCTGCTTTCATGCCCTCCTTGTCTTTAAAAAAAAAAAAAAAGTGAGCTATTCAAACTATGGTTATCACTTCAACTACCTCGGGTATCAGTGTCCATGTACTTGCAGGATGAGCAGAAAGAGAGGTGTGTTTTTGAAAATCATGCATATTCTCCTTGAAGATACTGATTTACTTATATGACAGATTTCCTGAGTACACAGAAAACATTAAGAAATAGATTTAAAAAAAAATAATCCCATTACAAAAAATGTTAGTCTTATAATTTCATAAGGCATGGCTTTCAATTTTCCTCTTGTGATTATTATTAATTCATCATTTCATTTCAAGCCTGCAATGTTTTGCAGTCATTGCCTTCTCCTTGAAAAAAAATGATTGAGAAACGAAAGAAAAGAAAGTGCTGATCTGCTCATATAAAAGATCTTCTAAGGATTCTTTCTGTAGAGAAGCAGTTGAGAAAATGACCACAGTGAACTCCAAATGCTCAAATACCAACAGTTAATGGACTACTTTGAAGTATATCTCATGATTTGTAAATGATTGAGAATGACAACAGCAGAACTTGCCTCATTTACATATTGGAATGATTAAATACATAAATACATAAAAACTGTTTTAAGTGCAATGTAATTGCTAAGACATTATTTATTAACTACTGGTGCTTTATTACACAATGGTAACTAAACATACAGCAAAGCCCTCAGCTCCTAACCTGAACCAAAAAAGCTGTTTTCGGAAGTGCTTAAAACTATCAACGAATGTGAGACAATGCTTCCTTATGTGTTCCTTTCTTGCTCCTCTTTCTTAGGTACCAGACCTGCTCAAACAATGGGTTGGTGGCTGGTTTCCAGAGTCAGTATTTTCCATCTGTGCTTGACCGTGAATGGCAATTTTACTGCTGCCGCTACAGCCGGAGGTGCCCATATTCGTGCTGGTAAGTTCAAGCAGAAACCAAACCTATTAACCCCCTTCCTCAGCAGTTCCTGGAAGTGTCATTGGCCACTAATCCCATCTACATACTTCCTTAAGAAAAACTGAACTGCATTTTACGGAGCTAAATAATCCATTTCCAGTCTGACCACAGGCTTCTTGGGGATGTATGACTAAGGGAAATGAATGAGAGCACTGTACAGTAGAATGCAGTAGTTAGCCCTAAATGAACAGGTCTCAGTATCAGCAGCAGCCTAGCTATGCTGGAAACTATGACAGGAGTCTCCAAAGTGAAACTGCATTTCAAAAGTCATACAGCTCCTGCTTCCTGATCCAGTAATTTCACAGGAGCAGGAGCATTTCTATGCCATGCTATTCTTCTGTAATGACTGACTATAGTGAACTTCTTTTCAGCTACCACAGAAAAAAAAATCCTCTGGCACATAGCTTTGGATTTTTGCATTTTTGTAGCACACAAATTGTTCCCTCTGTCAATGCTGTTGGAAGCCCAAAGTCAAAACTGATCTTGATCATAGTCAAAACCTAATGAAAAGGTGGCCTCACCTCAACAACAAATCACAACTGGTGCAGATAATCTCACAGAGACTAAGGAAAAATATACTTTTTAAGTGGAGCTTCCCTCTGGCCCCAAGTGTGGTTCCTCTAAACTGAGGGGGATGCACAATAGCAGACTGCATAGAGAAAGCTCACATTGCTCCTGTCTATTCTATGTAAAAGAACTCCTAATTTTAGGCTCCAGGGCTATTAATCCAGCTATTCTTACTGATACAAATAACAAACCTTCTGAATTAAAAAAAAAAAAAAAAATTAAAAGAAAAATAATAATAATAATAAAAAAACTAAAAAGAAGAGAAAAAATCCATGCTTGAATCTTTGCTTCTAGAACTCAGCTTTGAAGTGTATTTCCCATTGAGATGTGCACAAACTGTTTACATGCCCGCTGGTCTTTCTTTGTCTGGCTGGCTACTGGCCAAAATCAACAGCAGTGCCTTGCTTTGCAGACTTCATTCTTGCAGAGGAGGAAAATAGATGTTTTTTATTTATTTATTATTTTTAAGGATTTTAAATCACAGGAACTCTATAAAAGCCTTTGAACTTTCTTCTGCCTGCTCTCCAGTTTACCCTGCCTACGGATGTTCTCCACCTCTGGATTTATTTACACAACTGCCCACACTCTTCCCTCCAAGGAAAATTAATTTTTAAGCACTTCTTCCAAACTCTCTTACTCCCCTAATATTGCCTATATTTTCAGTGAAACAATAGAAATCCTCTCTGGCTTCTTTAATTGTTGTTGACAGTTCTGTACACATTGTCTTGACAACTTGGAACAGCTTTGTCTTGCAAATTGTCATCCAGAGCAGTGCAAGCCCAAATATAAATGTTTGGGGTTACTGATGTCTCACATTTCCATCCCAGCTGCACACAGACTCCTATACTGCCCAGTGACAGCACTTCATTTCTTGCACTTGGAAAAGAGTGCCTTACACAATTTGCAGCTACAGTCTTTCTATGCAGACAAAGGCAGCATTTCAAAAGCAGGTGAAGTGTTTCTGCCCCTAAGAAGGGAAGAAGTCCCACATGCTCACATTTCTCAGAGTGGAAAGCTGAATATCAGTTTAAAATCTCTGAGAAGGTTTTCACAAATCTTCACCTGATGTGTGAAAAGCTTTTGGGGTGTACTGTGTTATCATGGGTTCGTTATAGAATTATTTGGCACCAGGTATTGCCAGCCTTGCTCACTCTGTGTGGGCCCAGTTTGTTCTGCTCAAGCCACTGGTCTGTCTTGCCACTTTCATATCCCCTCTCACTCTGAACAGTCTGCTGCACAGTGTCTTCTACTTAAGAGTCACATTTGAAGTTACTCTTTTGAAGTTTGCATATGGCACCAGATTGGAGAGAAAAGCTGACACATTAGAGGGTGAGCATTTAGAGGGACCTGTGCAAGCTGAAGGAAGGGGCTGGCATTATTATGAAATTCAACAAATCTTGCTTATGGGAAAGAAAAGCCACTAGTAACAATACAGAGTAGGGACTGACTGTTTGAAAGCTGCCTTGTTTTGGAGGACAGCAAGCTGCACAGCAGCCAGCAACGGGCCCTGGCAGCTGGGAAGATCAGCAGCACCCTGGGCTGCATTAACTGCAGGGCAGCCAGCAGTTCAAGGGAAGTGATTGTCCTACTCCAGTCAGCACTCATTAGACCACATCTGGATACTGCATCCAGTTTTGTGGATACCTCCTGATGCAAGAAAAATGTCAATCAGTTAGAAAAAGTCCTGCATAGGGGCAACAAAATAGCTAAGAGAGAGAGCACTAAACCTCTGTGCTGAGGAAAGAAGGCTTGTGAAGCTGCAGTGGGCCTGAAGTGCAGCCTCCAGTAAGTACACACTGTTAAGAGGATGGAGTTGGGCCTTTCACAGTTATCCAGAGTGGGAGGACAAGACATAACTTGAAACAAGGGAGATGTAGCCTGGATATAAGGAAAATATTTTCCTCTATGAGGACAGTGAAGCAGAGGAATGGGTTGTTTGCTGGGGCTGTGCAAGCTCCATCCTTGGAAGTTTTCAAGACCAGTCTGGATAAAGTCTGGAGCAGCCTGGTCTGATCTCAGGGCTAACCCATCTTTGGGCAGATGCTGTACCAAATACCTCCTGAGGTCTCTTTCTGCCAGAGTTATCCTGTAATCCCAAACAGGAGGAGTCCACTGGTGGACTTACATCATGCAGCAAAACTATCCCTCTTCTTCAAAAGTGGTCTCCTACTCATTGTATGCTAGGAACAATACCTTTCCTGTTTTATTTCCTTTACTCTGCCCCACCAGTATCTTGGGAGTGACAGTTGTTATGCTAGAATATAAGCAACATGAACTGCAATGCGGTACCATGAAACCCCATGCCCTGGAACTGCCTCTGCTACAGATGTGACTTGTCTGAACAGCTAAACAACTGTGTATAGCAACCAAACTTCCCATTTGCTAAGCTCAGGGGCTCTCACTCAAAAATCCACTTCCAATGGCATTTCCAAGTTATTGTTAAAAACCCTCACTTACACATCACACTTCTAGCCTGTATCTTGCACTCTGTTTAAGAAACATTTACTACAGAGACTATGTTTTTCAGGCAATCCATAAAGCAGTTCTAGCCAACCACAGATAGTACCTCAAAACGTATACACATATAAAACACAGTAAAAATATGCATGTGCATAGTGCATTATATATAACAGTTTCTACCCAAGCCTATAATTATATTTATTATTTTCCAGAAACTAGTTGTCAAAAAAAAAAAAAAAAAAAAAAACAAACAGCTGTGGAGAAACAGCTAATCAAGTCTTGCTGACTCCTACTTCTTGGTGGAAGCAGATTAATTACAAGCGAAGCTTCTATCAGTACAGAACTATGTGGAAAGTATGTAATGACTCTGGTACCTCATGGATCATGTGTGATGCATAGGAAAATCCATATTAAAAAAAAATAATAATAACCCACACAGCATAATTTCTTAGGAGCCTTGAATTTTAACTTGCAATGAATCCCCCATTGTGAAACCAGCTACAGGCAGAAAAACATATCATAGGAAAACTGAAATACTGAGATATAACGAAACTCCTTGCTTTAAATTAGTTCTCACCTTGGTATTTGATCTCTTCTTCTTCCAGCTCTCTCCTTACATGTTTCTTTGGCAAATATACATAAGCGGTAGTACAGCTGATCCTTATGTATGGCTTCTCTTGGCTCTTCTTCAGGACTATTTGTCCTTAAATGAGCTGTTCTCGCCAATGAAAAAGACAGAGTTTCCCCATGAATATGAGCCATACAAATGGTTTGTTAGAATTTGATCCACTTTTTACAGCTGGAATCTTCTTTGTGTCTTAAGTCCCACTGACATTTATTGAAATAATACTTTATGATTCCATCTTGCAGACTGAAATGTACTTTAACAGTTTCCTTAGTTTACTTGGTAGCATCTATACCTCTGTACTTAATAGCCCAGCACATCTGTTTCACAGTTCATCTTCTCACTATTAATTCCCAGTTTACCTGCATAGTAAGCACATACTGCAAATAAATATACTAGTTTCATAGTTTTGCACTTGCTATTTTATTTTTTTTCTACAACTACTTTCTTTCCTTCCTCACCGTGCTAAGCCTTGCAATGGATTCTGCACATTTTTACCATACTGAAAATAATCAACATTCCCCACAGGAGGCAGAAAAGGTCCAATTATTTTACCTGTCTGGGGAATTTTACCACAGTAAAATAAATTGTATGCTTATTGAGACCACAAAGGAAGCAAATCCATTGCAGATACAGAGACAACATTATTAAATGGTCCCACTAGACCTCAGATTTTTCTCTTTGCCAGGAAATTGAAAGCTTGACTCCATACTCTCAAAAGAAAACACATGTCACAGAAAAGCCCCAAGTCTGCACAGATTGTTTATGACTGTTTTCCCTCTCCAAACAATCAGCAGCCCATGTGCCAGAAGGTCTGTCTGGAGCTGCGGCTGCTCTCTGTCACAGTGACGTTGTCCAGGCAAACAATTACATTTTCCAAGAGCTATGAGGATTAAAGAACTTATTTGTTTTCTTGACTCAACCAGCTCCCAAAGCCATTTTCAAACTGATAAGATCCTAAGCAGGCTTACCAACACCAAAGATATAAAACTAGGAGGTGAAGTCAGAATACACGTGACAGAAAATTATGCCTCTGGACAACTCAGTTCCCCTCCACTCCTTTTTACTGACTTTATTGTCATCCCAGCAAATACAACCTTCCAGTTCAATCTCCAATGACACCTTCCACAGGTATCACAGCAGAAGCTGGTTAATGCTTTTCAAACACGTTTTTCTTGAGAAATGGGCAGAAGGTGCCCTGAGCATTAGTTTCTGTGGACCTCCAAGAACCGTGGTACCACTGTACTGGCCTCAAGGCTCCTCACTCCTCTGAGAATATACGGTTTTCACCACAACAGAGTGAAACAAA